AGAACAAAAAGGACAGCAACTTGTATGATCCCCCTTCCCCCGATTCCCCAGCACTGTTCTCTTCCCCCAATTCCCCAATTAAAAAAAAAAAATTTTTTTTTTTTAAATTCCATTTAAATAGGGTTGTCAGAAGGATTCACTAAGAGTTAGGCATTTGAGAAAAGTTCTAAAGGAAATGAGAATCTGCTGTGTTTTTATTTGGAGGAAGCATTCCAGGCAGAGGAATGAGAAGTGCAAAAGTCAGGAGGCAGGAATTTACCTGAATACCTGATGCGAGCAAGGAGGCCAGTGTGCCTGGAGCAGAGTTTGAAATGGGGAGAATAGTAGGAAATGAGATCAGCGAGGTAAGAGGGGGTCTGAGCAATTCATCTCAAGCTTTGTAAACTGCTGTACAGACTTTGGCCTTTATTGTGAGTGAGAAGGTTACTGGAGATTTCAGAATAGAGTAGAGCTATGATGTGACTCAAACCTGACATTGTGGTTACTGGGTTAAAGCTGAGTAAACTCTGGCAGAGAATACAAAAGTAGGGTGATCATATAGAGGGTATCCTAACCACTCAGGAGACAGATGTTGAAGCTTGGACCAGAGTGGCTAATGAGGGGAACATCAGAAATGTCTGATGCTGGATATGTTTTGAAGGTAGAGTCAACAGGTCTGCAGATAGATTAAAGCTGGAGTGTGGACAGAAAGAAGTGTCATGGTTTACCCTGATGTTATTAACCCGAATAAACTGGAAGATGGAGAAACTTACCAACATGTCATGAGGAATAGGGAGAGAACAGATTTTGAAAGATATAGAGGGAGATTGGAAGCTCACTTTTTGACCTGTCAAGTTCAAGGCACCTGTCAGACAGTCAAGTCTAGGTGTTAGGTAAGCAGTTGAATAAGAGTTTGTTGGTTCAGGGAATAGAGAGGTTCAGGCTGGAGATAAAATTTAGGAGGTCAACTGCATAGAGATAGTATCTAAGCCGTGAGAATGAATAAAATCGCAGAAAAACTGAAGAAGATAGAAAATAAATATGATCAAGGACCAAACCCTGAGAAGTCTCAATTTGTAGAGCCTTCAGAGATGAGGATGAACCCGCAGGAGAGACTTGGTATGTCTGGTGAGGTGGGAGTGAAACCATTCAAGTGTGGGTTTCAAGGAGGGAGTGATCAACCATGTCAGAGGCGAGTCTCTGTCAGGTGAGGTGAAGATTGAGATTTCACCGTTAGATTTGAAGGCTGCTATAAGTGAGGTGTATTGAATGCAATGAAGGTTTAGGGTTGAGATTCTTAATGGAAATTTTTTTAATGTACAAAGTGAGTGGATTATATAATGAATCCCACATCCCTCATATGCTCCCAGCTTTTAAAAATGTCACTATATAAAGAGCCATTCTCATCATCTATACACTTACTCAGGACCTCCCCACCCCACCCCCTGAGATTTTTAAAATAAATTGTAGACATCATATCCCATTACCCATCGGTTTATCAGTATGTGTCACTAAACAATAGTTTTTAATAAGCACAATACCTAAAACTAAACCAAAAAAAAATCACATAATGCCTTGATACCAATCAATGTTCAAATTGCTTCATTTGTCTCCAGTTGATTTTTTAATTTTTATTAGGGAACAGTGTGTTTTTCCAGGACCCATCAGCTCCAAGTCGAGTAGTTGTTTCAATCTAGTTGTGGAGGGTGCATCTCAGTGACCCATGCGGGGATCGAACCGACAACCTTGGTGTTATGAGCACTGCGCTCTAACCAACTGAGCTAACCTGCTGCCCCCTCCAGTTGGTTTTTTATTTTTTATATTTGGTTAGTTTAAATGACTATCTAAACGAGGTAACACATTATATTTAGTTGATATGAGTCCAATTCCTTTTTTTTTTAAGCTTATATTTTTCTTCTTTTTCTCTCTGTTTTCTGTTTTTTCTTACAGCAGAAACCATTGTCCTAACCAATTCAGCTTCTATTTAAAAAGCAAAAATTACTGTGGCAAGAACACTATCTATGATTTGTACATTTCTGTTTCTTCACATCACGTAGTGTCTGATTCTATCTCTTTTTGTGACGTTGAGACTGATCCCCAGGAGTCAGATGTTGTCAACTTGATTCATTGATTATGTTTCCTGTCAACTTTTTACCCAATGATTTTAGAAACATTTATGATCATACTTTATATTTTTTTCTTTAGAAGAAAGTCTATTTTTCCTTTCTATTTGTTTGTTGATGTTCTATTAAAATGAAATACTGTCCTTATCAATAATAACTTATTAATTCTGAGGTATGGTTCATATAGGGAAAACAGAATGAATGCTTAGCTCTTTGCCTTTATTCACCAGTTTTCAGAATAAAGTTAGTTCCCAAGCATCTTCCAGGGAGGTCAATTTTTAAAAATTTTAGTATCATTTAGGGCCTGCCGAGTGGCTCAGTTGGTTAAGAGCTCGGGCAAGAGTGTGAGCTCTGAGCAACAGCGGTTCGATGCCTAGCCTGAGCTGAGTTGCTGCCGAGCTGCCAACAGGTAGCAGGATGGCTCAGCTAAAAAAATTATTTAAAAAAAAAATTAGTATCATTTTGATCTCATGGTTTTTGTTTGTTTGTTTTGTTTTTGGTTTTTTTTAAGACTTTTTTTTTTAATTGGGGAATTGGGGGAGGGGAACAGTGTTGGGAAATTAGGGAAGGGGGCCAGCCAAGTTGTTCTTCAAACTTAGTTGTGTAGGGCGTAATTCGCCATCTGGCTTCCCGTTGGCAGCTCGTGGCCTCTAAGCTCAAGGTGCTGTGTTCAATCTTAGCTGCAGGTGGGCATAGCCACCATCCCATGCGGGAGTCAAACCAGCAACCTTGTTAAGAGCACACACTATCCACTGAGCCATCCGGGTGGCAGCTCAGCTCAAGGTGTCGAGTTCAGTCTTAGATGCAGTGGGTGTAGTCCACCATTGAACAGGCAATCTTATTGTTAGGAGCTTGTGCTCTCACCAGCTGAGCCGTCCTGCCACCTGTTGGCAGCTCAGCTCGTGTGCAGTGTCACTGGCCCATGGGGAATCGAACCGACGGCCCTGTTGCTCAGAGCTAGTGTTCTTAAGCCAACTGTTAACCAACTGAACCACTCGGCCAGCCCGATCTCCTGGTTTTATAACACAGTTTCTTTTTCAGTGCATATTAAGTAGGTTTTTCAACTGAATTTGAAAATCCTTTTTAAAACCAATCCTCAAATTGTCTCATCTTTAGTCAGCAGAGACCCATCAAGATGGCTTCTGAATTTTTTTGCCATGACCCCGATTGTCTTTGCTAGCTTCCTTAGCTTCTGTTCTGACAGGATGTTCCAGTCTTATCTTATATAATCCTGCCCTATATATAAAATCAGCCATTTCTCCAAGGAGCCTAAAGAAAAAAATACACCATGAATTTATATTGGTATTCACACTTAGAATTAGAGGGTATTCCTTAACTCCTTTGATTTTTATATTTGTAAGAGAGATTGGTTATTTTTTATTTTAAGTTGAGAGAAACTGCAGTGCAGGCATTTATATAATGCCGGGGAAGATGCAATAAGGACATGGTGAAGAGGGAAGGCAGATAAATTATTATTTATTTTTACTTGTGGCTCCATTTAGCAGATATTTAGTTTAGGTTTCTTTTAAAATTCATTCCCTGATAGCATCTTTCCATGCATTTTAAAAATAATATATACACTGTTAGTAGCCATATAGATAACATTTGGCCCATGATTTCTCATCCTTTTGTAATCTTACCCATAAGAACTGGGGTTTTTTTTTTTTTTACAGTTTTGTCCAACTCAATGAAAGACTCATCACTATTTTATTCTTCTCGTGATTTATATTTGTTGACAACTTAATCTCTGTATTAATAGATGCAGCCACAGATAGTAGCATGGGTTTCTTTTTTTTCTTTTCTTTTCTTTTTTTTAAGATTTTTATTGGGGGAATTGGGGGAATGGGAACAGTGCTGGGGAATTGGGGAAGGGGAACAGACAAGTTGCTATCGTCTTGTTCTTCAGTCTAGTTGTGGAGGACGTTGCTTCACTGGCCCAAGTTGGCACCATCATTGTGCTCTTCTCTGGCGAGGCAGATCAGTCGCCGGCTTCTGGATGGCCGCTCACGCTGGCTGCTGGCTACACACGGTAGCCCATGGCAACCCACTGCCACAGGGACTGCAGCCTACGCCGTCGCCGCCGGTGACTCATAGCAGCCCAGCTCCAGGTTGAGCTGTTGTTCAGCATCTTAGCTGTGGAGGGCAGTGTCACTGGCCCTCATATGTGGGATCCGAACCGGGGCCCTCTGGCATCCCAAGCGAGTTCTTAACCATCGCGCCACTCGGCCGGCCCATAGCATGGGTTTCTTGATGTACTGCTCCTTAGGTCCTATGTAGAAGTATCCTTTAGAAATGAAAACTGTCATGTCTCCAGGTTATATTGTATGAGGGAAAAATTGCAGATCTTCTGAATTAGGTGTTTGCTACGATATTGTTGCTTTAAAATATGACCATTTTAACTTTTCTGTTTCCTGTTCCTGAAATTCACTGCTTTTGCACTTCCGAAATTTTTTTAGAACTTCAAAACAGGGAGGACATACTCAACAAAAACGTGTCCACCTGATGTGATGTTTTTGTGGATATGTCAGAACAGTTAACCCACCTTGGCCAATGTGATAATAATGATCTACCCTCCTCAGAAAGAAACAAACTTAAATGCATATGTTTTTGAGGTTACAGAAAGTTGTTTTTTTTTTCAGCTACCGTTTTTTTATGTGACTTCCCTTTGCCTAATTAATTTTGCTAGTTATGATGCTTTCATTATCCAGAAATATTTATAAACTAACTTATTTTTACTTTTTTCAAAGATGAGATTATGGAATACTTAAAATCTATCTAAACATCTCTTTGTGTAGTTAAATATTGCTCTATGTCATCATAATATCGCTTGCATTATATTCCCATATATGGTTTACTATTTACTGCATAGCCAATTAGGTCATTTCTAATATCTTACTGTTTTAAACAGTGGTCATCTTTTTGTCTAAATCTGTGCACTTATTTATGATTGTTTTGAAAGGGAAGAACTCTTTAAGGAAAATCATTGGATGAAAAAGCATTCCACACTATGTCCAATTATTAATGTACGCCTGTGTGTTTGACTTAAAGTAGATAGAGCAAAACTGGCTAGCGTTGCCCTCATCAATGTTTTGTTGTATTATTCTTTGTACTTCCCTTCAAAGCTAGTCTTTAAAGATAACAAGTACCAAAAGCGGTTTATACTGATCTTCACATCTGGTGTCCTTTTCTCTGTTTAGGGAATAGAACTGAGACCTTGCAACCTGAAATAAAAAGTGAATCTGAACCCAGTTTTATCTTCAGAGGCGCAGACAACACTAAAACCTATTCACTGACCCCATCTATTCCTCACCCAGTGAAGGAGGCAAACTTGTCTCCAGGCTTCTCCTGGTCCCCTAAGACCGCTTCGACCACAACATCTCCTTTTAAGAACGATGCATCAGTTTCGTACGGGTTTTCAGAAAGAAGTAGCAATCCCCACTGCACAACGCCTTCTGCAAGACACAGTGGTGCTAATGCTGCTGCTGGGGAATGCACTGGAATCACACCACCTGGGGAAGTGGGTCCTCTTCCCACCTTGTCTACTCCCATGCCAGATGCCCTCATGTATCCTGAGCCTCCCACTTGTCCATCTGAGCAGCTAAATTCTCACCAGCCAAACCAGCAGACCCCATTCATCACCTCTCCTCCTGACCTTGCTTCCTCTCTGATGGAAGAAGATGAGCAGCATTCTGAAGCAGATGAGCCTCTATCTGATGACCCCTTGTCAGACGACCTCCTGTCTCCTGCTGAGGAGAAATTACCCCACATTGATGAGTATTGGTCAGACAGTGAGCACATCTTCTTGGATGCCAATATCGGTGGGGTGGCGATAGCGCCCGCTCATGGCTCCGTGTTGATTGAGTGTGCCCGGCGAGAGCTTCACGCTACGACTCCTGTCGAACACCCAAACCGGAATCATCCTACACGCCTCTCCCTTGTCTTCTACCAGCACAAAAACCTGAATAAGCCCCAACATGGCTTTGAACTAAACAAGATTAAATTCGAGGCTAAAGAAGCTAAGAATAAGAAAACCAAGGCCTCAGAGCAGAAAGATCAGGCAGCTAATGAGGGTACTGAACTGTCCCCTGAAATTAATGAATTGAACCAAATTCCTTCTCATAAAGCATTAACATTAACCCATGACAATGTTGTCACCGTGTCCCCTTATGCTCTCACACATGTTGCGGGGCCCTATAACCATTGGGTCTGAAAGCTTTTCTCCCCTTCTAAATGCCTTTGCTAGTGCAGTGTATTTTTTCAAGGTGCTGTTAAAAGAAAGTCATGTTGTCGTTTACTATATCTTCATCTCACCCATATGAAGGCTGAGGTTAAAAAAAAAATAGGGTGGGTATTTCTTAACTGTGACTATATTTTGACAATTGGTAGAAGGTGCACATTTTAAGCAAAAATAAAAGTTTTATAGTTTTAAATATATAAAGAAATGTTTTGGTTAGGTGTTAACCTTGATAGAATCACTCAGTTTGGTGCTTTAAATTAAGTCTGTTTACCATGAAACAAGAGTCATTTTTAGAGGATTTTAACAGGTCATGTGCTATGATGTAAAATCAAGATACACAGTGTTAACTCTACACAGCTCCTGGTGCTTACCCACATCGACACAGTTAAAGATAAGCTGAATTATTATTTCATGGTGCCATTGTTCCAACATCTTCCAATCATTGCTAGAAATTTGACGTATTCCTTTGAAACAAACCAATGAAATGTTTTCTCTCTTAAAATATCTCTCCGGTATAACATAATTCATTATTGTTAGTAATGGTTGGAGGCTGTTCATAGATTGTAAATATATATTTTAAAAGCACTTTCTATTTTTAAAAGTAACTTGAAATAGTATAGTATAAGATTCCTATTGTCTATTGTTTGTGCATATTTGCATACAAGAGAAATCATTTATTCTTGCTGTGTAGAGTTCCATCTTGTTAACTGCAATATGTACTCTAATCATGTATATGGTTTGTTTTTTTAATGTGTCCTTTCTTGTTCAAATATTAGCTACTTAAATAGATCATGCAAAAATTGTTAGTTATCTCTAAAATTGGAATTTGGAAGCATATCATCAATATTGATTAACATTTTTGGGGGGACTAAGTAAGAGTGGTCTGTTCCGATTTATGGAGCTACAGTGCCCACACCTTACTTTAACCCTAGCTTTCTCAATATAATCCATGAAAGATGTTTCCGAAAGGAGATGGCACATAATAGGATTCAGAAGAGTCAAATGCTTCTAAAGTTTCAAGGTGATAAAATTTAAAAATTAAGTAGTAAGAACCCTACCCATCCCAAATTGCCTTATTCTGAAAGTTGTTCTGGTACAGAATTAGAATAAAATTCCTGTATAAATATTTTGAAAACAAATTTCCCTATCATCATCGTTTCCCCACAACATCCCAAACAAACAGTAGGAATGGTGTTGCAAGTATGGTTCTGTCCATTAAGAGCTAATCCAAAGTAGTGTAAGGATATTAGTTTTGTGAAAATGATAATTCATCCCTGGTAATTACCTGTGTTCTAACTAATGGGAAAATAGGGATTCCATTTATTTTAGTCCTCCCATTATTTTTACCTATTACTTTCTTGAATCATAGCAAAACAGAAGGAATTGCCCAAACCAAACATTTAGAACAAGAAGAAATTTCAATTAAATACTTGATTCTGCTAAAATGTAGAGGTGCTATCACATTCAAAGTGTCAGATTCCTTGGGAGTATAGAAAACCTAATGGTGCTTCTCCCTTGGAAATGCCATAGGAATCCCACAACCGCTAACACTCAAAATTTTGGTGCAAAAGCATACAGTTCCAGCAAAGCTTAAAGAAAAACTCATTATAACTTATATTAAAATAATATATGGTGCAAAGTATCAGTTTCAAGCTTTTGACTAATCCAAGTAAAGGAATATGAAGGGACTGTAAATAACAAAATGTCCATTGATAGACCATCATCTTGTATAAGTAGTTTTCTGCTTTTGAATATGTAAAATTGGATAATTCATTGACTTGTTTTAGTATTTTGTGTGCCTTAGATTTGTTTTAAAACATGTATATTTTTGTGAGCCTAAGGTTTCTTATACATATAAGTATATAAATAAGTGATTGTTTATCATTTCCGCTGCTTAAATAAGATATTTACTAGTATTAGACTATCAGGAATACAACCTTGTGATATTTCGTTTTAGATTTTAGGCCTTAGCTCCCACTAGAAATTATTTCCTCACCAGATTTAATGGATAAAGCTTTAAGACCCTTTATCCATCCACCCATCTATCCATTCTTTCATTCAACACTTATTGAATGTCTGCAAAATTTAAGTATTAGCATTTGTTTTTCTTTGAATCATCACCTATGACATAGTAACTTGAAGAATTAAAATCCTAGAAAGTACTCTCACACATATTTTTCAAGAAATAGCAAATTTCCTTCAAAACAAACTACTATATGATAAATCTTCAGCAATTGAAATCAGTTTCAGTAACTTTAGAAAAGTTCTGTAACAATCTAAACTTGAAGCACCAATGTTGACTAAGGGGAATATTGGGATTTGTAAAGTTAGTTGCAGTTTACCAAAACAAGTACATGAAAATATTCAGTCTCAACTAAAATGTTTCCACTCAGTTATTAAAATTAACACCATGAGTGGCCTGCTCAACTGACAACCCCACGGTGGGAACCACATGATTCCTGCTTTGTTGGACTCTATTTCATAAGTTTAACAATTTACCATCCCATGGTCTGCCCTGTAATTTTTTCAAAGCTCGTGCTTATTTAATGTTCAGCATTGGGATTGTATGCTGGCTACACTGCTGTTAGAATGCTCTTTCTCATGAAGCAAGAAAATAAATTGTTTGAAATGACATTTTCGCTCAGAAAACTGGTCATCTAACATTATTTCTATACCTCTATTATGTTTTCCTGTAATGATCACCTCATTTGTAGTACTCAAATTGGGTTTTCAGTCTTTTGCCTTTGTTCATGGTATAACTGAATTCACTGATACATAACTCTTAAGTTAGCCCAACCTAGTCATAATATGTTACAAACTTAACTATGATGAGAAAATAACTCCTGCGTATCATAGAATCCTACAAAATATCACGCTGCCCTTCAAAATTGCATTTCTAATGGCTCCCAGGCCATCACTGAAATGTTTTTCCTTGTGCTTGTCAGCCTCACATCTTTCCAATTCATCCACAAAATACCAAATATGTCATCAACCTAACTGAAATATATTACTATTGGAAAGTCAGCCTAGCTGAAAATGTAGCTATAGCTAAATTTTTGCAACATATTAGCAAAATGTTTGCATCTTAAATAACCTTCCAACATCTTTATGCAATCTGCATGTGGATGAAATAATTTCATTTGTTAAATATAGAATTTTAACTAGATTAGATTCATAAGCAATTTACTTAAGACATAACCCCAATACATGCTTAATTGAATGCATACCCTTGTGTAAATGAGATACTGACTTAATTCATATGAAGTAACCTACTTTCTAATGTTATTGCTTCCATGGACTTCTGATTATCATTGATTTCACAATCGCATGTATGAAAATAACCCCAAACCATTTAAGTTTAATCTTTGAAAAACAAATTATCTTGAGATCTTTTATCTGGGATAACTTTTGACATTGCATGACAACTTCCACTGATAGTGGGCACAGCATTTCTTCAAATGTGCCGTGTAAGTCAGTAGCTGTATGTGACCTGTAATATATAGCTACTTTCTATTTCACAACTTTTTAATGCATGGAAATCTTTTTATTTGTCTAGATTTAATACAAATGTGAGTTTTGATCTTTTGTAGAAATTTATGACAAGAATTGTGAAATAAGTTAATATGGTTGTGACTTCTCCCATCACTGAAAGACACCCTAGAAGTCATATAATTGAACACTGAGGCCCAAAGAGCACAAAGATTGTAATGTCAATGTATAATTATTTTTGTAATTAGAATTTGAAGAGTCAAATGAAGGCCACTTCGTGGTTAGGGCTGTAGGAAAACAAACTTGATCACCCATGAGGTATTTTATCACTGGGAAATAACCGTATTTTGGTACAAGTCAAAAGTAAAACGGCTTTGGGTTTTTTTCTGAGGTTCAGGAAAAGATTTTGGGTGAAATAATTGGGGAAAGTATATTTCCATTGTATATACTACCTAGCCATGGTTGTACAGTCTAGTCACATGTCTTGCCTAGTTGGCTTCATGTCCCAGCATAGTTTATTTTGATGTGGCTGTTTACATGTATGAGAATACTGTTCCGTTGTGTACAGCTACTAAACTTGCCCTTAAGTGTACTAAACTTGTAACTTTGACATCAGTAGTATGGTACACTTAACAAGTGATGTAATCAGTGCCCTGATTCCTGAAAGAGTGGATTTACGCAAATCAAATTATACTCCATGTTGAGTTTTTTTCTAACAGGTTTTGGAATTGACGCCATACATGGCTTTGGAATGCAATTCAGAAATAATCAGTACATTCTTAATCAGGAGCTGGATTTGTGTTTTCTTAGATTCATTGGCTTTTTTTTCCCTTTTATGTATAAAATAGAGACTAAGTTCCTCTGTTATTAATAATTTTGGAGATGGTAAAACTGGATTGTATCCAGGACACCACTCTTTTGTCTGCATTGAACTCTATAAACCTTAATTCTCTACATTCCGGTATCTGGATGAATTTTTTTCAATCTGTTTCTTATGGTCACCCAACCAAATACCATTGTTTGCTTCAAAAGACATTTATTTTATTCCTTCAGGTAATTCAAAGGTTTTACTTATTTTGCCACTCCTAATTTTTCTTTAAGTGTCCCACAATTTGTTTCTCTTTTGGTAGTATACAATTTTTAATACTTCTAGATTTAAAAGTCTAACATTAATCTTTGTTGGCTGTACTCCATTCCCATCCTAACTGATAACCAAGATCCTGCGTGAGTCACAAGTTTTCTTCTAGTTTGTTTAACCATAGATATCCTCTAAATTACAACAAAATGTAGTCTAAAGTAGGAATGTTATTATTAGATGTTAATCATATTAGCTGATTTAACCCATCCATGTTTAAGTGTAACTTAAGAAACCCTTGGTTAACAATATAAACCCAGTTTTCCTAAAAATAGAAATTTTGTCACTAGCTGCTATTATGAAGAGCATCCCTGTCTTGTTCATCAGAATAAAATCTTGCAGCTGTCAGAAACATTTGCATTTTTGGAGAAATAATATTAGAAAAGAATTTGGTTTCTTCTCCATTTGGCAAGGTATAAACTTCTAACCTGACCAGAAACTCTGCTTTTCGTTATTTTTCTTTTCTCCTTTTACTAAAGGCACAATACCACTAACTGTGCTTTCACTCTTTTTAAAGTTTTTATCGTCTCCTCTGATTTTATTTAAAACTCTATTGCTTCCCCTGTCTCTGTTCTCTCCATTCTTCAGGTTTCCTACACAAAAACACATGGTTCATTTTAAGAATAACAGTGATCTTGGTCATTTGTCTTTTAAAATTGTATTTCTCATCCTTTTTGGAATAATATTGAAAGGAATCAAGAGCTTTTATTCAGCCCTTTTCATTTAGAGGCAAATTCAGTTTTCAGGAATGGATATGATCACAAGGCCATAGGTTAGGACCCAGTGCTCCCTTTACCCATTCCAACAATGTTTGGCTCGGTTCATTTATTAGTGTTTGAGTGTTTTACAAAAACTTGTATAAGAAGTATCCTATCACTACTTCTATATGACTGCTATTTCTGTATAATGCATCATACTAATTATAAATTGTCTGACCACTGACTTTCATAGTAATGAGTCTGATCTATAGAACAGACTATATATATATATATTTATTTTTTTTTTGCATCTTTTTCTCCTTATCTCCCAGTCCAATTTTGTGGATGGTATCTATTTTCAAATGCAAATTTACTCCTTTGGAATTTGGTTTTGGCAATAATAGGAACTATCTATAACCTGGGTGAGATAGGTTAGAAAATGAACTGAAAGTAATTGGAAGAGTTCTTCAAGATGGGATAAGTCAGTCCTCAGAAGCTCTTTCAAGCACAATAGTGGGGGAGCTAAGAGGCAGAAATGAGGGAGAATCGTGTTCCTCTCAGCGACCTGCAGGTTCACTCTACCAGTTCAACACCACGAAATACTTTTAATGTTTCTTCTTCCCACTCCATACCGTTTTATCTGAAAAAAAGCAAATATGATAACAAGGCAAATTATAAATAATCCTTGCACTTTGTAATGTTTTAAGTTATCAAACTGCTTTACTATGTGCAAGGTTTTTTTTTCTCCAGCACTGAGGATTGGACAGAGAATGTTCCTATCCTACTGGTGAGGAACCTGCAGGTTGGCAAAAATATCACAGGGCTTGTTCCAAGTCACACAGCAAGTCAACGCAGCTGAGATTAAAACATTAACTAGCAGCAGACTGCTAAATGCATTTCTGCACCATAAACTATAACTTAGAGTGTTTACTGATTGGAAACTTTGTCAGCCCTGATCTAAGGACAATATAAAACTTACTTCTTGCATGCAAAACATGCTTCTGAAGTATTTTACTTCCACTGTTGATTTAGCCAGCTATTTTCTTAAGCATACTGTAGAAGTTCTCCCAAATTCCCAAGACTTTTCTGCATTAGGGATTAGATTAATGACGTGGGTTTTTTTCCCCGTAAAAAATTTTTAATAAAGATCCTGTACTAAAACAGGGAAACCTCCTAAGTAGTAATGTTTTTAAAATACTCTTGAAGACTAAGGTCAGCAACTCATAAAATTAAATGTATTTACTTTATTGAAATGCAGGTAAAAGAAATGCAGGTTACTTGGAATGTGCTGGGTAAACTGACTATTTTAATTCCCAGGCACTCATAGTAAAAATTTAAAATTGTCAGCATCTCTTAAGAGATAGTATTGCCTCCTACTTATTTGTATTTGTTTTGTTTTGGGATTTTTTCCTACCTTTTTCAGCCACATACAGTCTCCGGGTCAAAGGTTAAATTTACCTTTACCCAGAGAATTAAGAAAAATAAGATGTATTTGTAAAATTTTTAGTAAGCTATTTATAGATATAAAAAGGTAAGATATTTTGGCTACTCTATCAGTACATTATGGGTTACTAATGAAAAACCCAGGCCAAATTGCCCTAAATAGTCAAATTCCACTTTTGGTGACTCAGTTCAGTAACTGCCTATCCCTATTAATGCCTGTTTGTGATATAAAATGGCTGACGACATAGGACTTTACAGAGGCAGCTCTTAAGAAAATAGATTAAATATTTTTTATCGCTATGTGTGGTCATATTTTTTTTTAATTTTTATGAGATAACGTTGTGATAGGTGCTTTAAGAGAAATATTTTTCCAGAAATGGTTTTATAGTAAAAAGAAAGGGCAGCTTTTGCATTGTGACATATGGGTGGATGGTCATCTTTGGGTTACTAAGAAATGAAGTGTTCCCTAAAGAGAAACTTGTAAAACTACTTAACAGTAAGAAAAGCATTAATTTCTAGTTTCTTCACTTTATATGGTGACCTACCAGTAGATTCTTGTGCTTATCAATAACTTGGTTCCAATAACTAACTTCTTCCAAGGAGAAAACCGAGTGCTTATCATTAGTGGGAGTAAAATACTCACAAATCCTTCACCATGGTGAACTAGAGTAGTACTGAATTCCCAATCGAGAAATAATTGATTTCAGAAGTTAATATTCTTGTTTCTAGTTGATTTTTTTCTCTCTTTGGCATGTATTTACTATTTATTTTATATCTTTAATTTTTTGCTTTGGGGGACTTTTACTTACTGCGGTCCTACTGTATTTAAAAATCCCATACAATGAAACGTTAGTAAGGAAAAGATTTTAAAACTCCACAAGTATCCATTTTTGGTTAACATATGGGGAAAACCGTTTAAAGAAAAAGCACTTCACCATGTAAAAGGGAAAAAGATAATTATGATTTCAATTCAGGATCCACATAGTGCTCTATGTATAAGGGAACACTTACTAGCAGTACTTGAAGACTTGTGAGTTGAAATTGCATGTTACTTGAAAGATCGAATTAAGCTAAATTTTGGTGCACAGCAGTTGTACATGATTTCATGTTTATGTAGCAAAATGCATTGAAATGTTCTAGTATTGAAACATACATGTAAAGATAGTTGTGGAAATTGTCTATTATATTTTCCTTGTGTCTCATTTATTTAGAGCATAAAGTTTCTTTTTAATTGTTTTAACTGAATAAGGCTAAATGAATACTGTAATTGAAATTATATTTTAAATCTTTGTCATGAGTTTTTAAAAAAGAAACTATTGCAAATTGTATCATTCCTGGTTATACAGAACTTTGTGGGTGGTTTTAAATAAATTTTATACTTCTATTTTGCACCTGGTAGTCTAATTTTTCTTTCCTCTATAAAATAATATTAAGTAAGGACTCTTATCAACCCCATTTTACAGATCAATTCTGAAACTTAATGTTCACACCCCTAGTAATGGGCAGAGCCATTCATCAACTTGGGTCTAGACTGACTCATGCCCTCCTTTGGGTTTATCGTTATTTTAATCATCTTAATCCTGAACACAGTAGTGCTAACAGTATTTTAAAGTTGACGTCCTAAAGTATTTATTAAAACCTGAAGTGAAAAAATATATCGACAATAGGCTTTTAGTGAAATTACAGCAAATGTCACCGCATACTAAGTTACTTTAAATCCATCTGATTTGAAATCTAACTCTCCTATTGTAGGATCCTGGTAGTCCTTTCTCTTCTAGTAACAAGAACAACTATATCCCCCTGCCCCAGGATCTCCCCAGGTTTAGGAGGGCAGCTAGATACTGCATTTTCCATCTCCTTCCTGAAATGGTTATAAGGGAGACATGTAAGTTAGGCAGACCATAGACACGTGGGCAGCACGCTAGGGCTGGCAGAACAGCCAAAGAGAAGGAACTCGGATCCCTGGATGGTCCACCTGTCAACTTGGTCTTGTACATGAGAAAAAAACAAGTATCCTTTTCTATTGTTTTGCTCTCTGTTAAATAAGCTTCGTCAATATCCTAACTAAACATCCACTCCATAACACAACTCATGTTTTTTTCATCTTCTCCAGAACAAATATACAGTTCCTTCAGTGTTCTTCTAGTAACATGGTTTCTATTGGGTTGTCGGAAAAGTCGTGATGTATTTTTTTTCCTATGTTTTTCGTTGCAAAAATGCGTCATGACTTTAGATCCTTTATCTTAATGCTCTTTAGACAACAACCTGAATGATATTTTAGAAACAGATCTCAGAACATGAAATTTCCCTACTTAAAACTTATCCAGGCCTTTTGAGCTTCCTTTGCTCGGCCCGCTCCAAACTCGTTGGAGTGTACTTTCTCTTCTAATAATAACCCTTGAGCCATTGTCTACTGCTGGGGCCCACTTCTACTTCTTTGAAATGTATTTTTTCTTCTAATAAACAGTCCTTTTCTGCAACTTTAAAAAAACAAACAAACAAACAAAAAACTTAATCCAATGGCTTCCCACTGTACTTAGCATGAAACCAAACTTCTTACTTAGTTTGCAAAGTTCTGGGTGACCTGACTCCTGCCAACCTATCTGCCCTCATTTACCATGCTCCAGCCATTCTGAGCTTCTGTAGCTCCTTGAACAGGCCAAACTCTTCTCTGACTCGAAGTCTTTTGCCTGCTGCCTGCTTCTACCTTCAGATCCTCATGTGGCTAGCTCCTTCCTATAGTTCCTGTATCAGCTCAAATGTCACATTTTCAATACCCACATAGTGTTCAAGCATATTAATGTCCCATAATGTTATCACTCCCTATTGAACATTTTGTTTCCAATTTTTTACTGTGATAAACACTAAAATGCTAGATTAAAAGGAATGAACCTTAATTTTTTAAATCGTTTTTTATACTTTTTATAATTTTTAAAATTAATTTTTATTTTTCATATATAGTTGACATACAATATTATTTTATTCTAATTTCAGGTGTACAGTGTGGTGGATACACATATAATTTACAAAGTGATTCCCCCCCCATAAGTCTAGTATCTACCTGGCACCATACATTGTTACTACAATATTGTTGACTATATTCTCTATGCTGTACTTTACATCCCCATGACTACTGTATAATTGCCAATTTGTGTTTCTTAATTCCTTCACCTTTTTTACCTAAGTTCCCAACCCCCCTCCCATCTGGCAATCATCAGTTTGTTCTCTGTATCTATGAGTCTGTTTCTGTTTTGTTTGTTTATTTAGTTTGTTCTTTAGAATCCATGTGTAACTGAAATCACATGGTATTTGTGTTTCTCTATCTTATTTCCTTTAGTATAATATCCCCTAGGTCCATCCATGTTGTCACAAATGGTAAGATTTCATTCTTTTTTATGGCCAAGTAATTAAAAGGAATGAATCTTAATTTAAAAAATAATAATAGTTAAGACATAGCATTGGTACAAAATTCTAAAAGTACAAAGGTATTAGAGGGGAAAAAAAAATGACCTTTCTACCTCTGTTGTCCAGTGTTTATACTCAGGATGCTCTTGCCTACAACTAAAAATGGCTTAAACAATAAACAATGCATTTTCTGATATAATGAAAGATCCAAAGACAAGTGATTCTGAGTTAATAAATTCAGCAATTCAATGATATTTGAGTTCCAGTTCTGTTTCTCTTCAATTCTGTCAGGTTTCCCTCATGATCTCAAGATGGCTGCCACAACTCAAAGAATCATGACCTTTCCCAACTTTACCTAAAAGTCCTGAGGAGCAGTTTCTCTTTCAGTCTCTTTCAAGTCAGGGACAAAACCCAAAAGCTCCAATACACTTCTTATACTTCATTAGCCAAGGCTTTTTCACATAACTATGCCTAAACCAATCATTAGAAAGGAGAATTAATTACATAATTTGCTTACACCAATCAATATTTACCTCCTGGGACTAATAGATTGGCTTCTCCTGAAGTCACATCTGAACAAAATATGGCCTCTGTCAGCAAAGGAAGAACAGGAATAGAATGCAACTGGGTGAGTAACCAATTGATCTGCCAGGCCAGGCCTCACATTTTCTCCTCCCAGAGACCACCTTAGCTGTTTCTTGTGTATCCTCCTAGAAATATGCATATGCAAACATCATAAACATTTTTTTTCTTTAATTTAGCAGCCCTGATTAATACATACAGAACTGCATGTATACAGAATTCTTATTTTTTTATTTAAGCATAATTGGTACACAATATTACATTACTTATATTAGTTTCAGGTGTACAATACAGTGATTTGACATTTTCATACATTGGAACCTCACAAGTGGAGGAGCTTCTCTCTCACACTGCACCAACCTCTGGATGGGGGTGAGGGTGGGGGATTGTTCTCCTTGTTCCCAAGTACTCTCCCTTTAAAATTCACACATGTTATTTATTCTTCCCTGCCCTAATTCTTGCTATCATTCTGGGTAATTTCATTGAGCAAGTAGGCACCTCATCCAACACCTTCACATCTCAATTCCCTGATCTTTTCTGGCCACTTCCCCTTCTCTCTACTTCACCAGAGCCTCCTACTCCCACAGTCACAGAATGGAAAATATCGTCACTTTAAAATCATTAATTCAAACACATCATGACCTCGACTCCTATGTGTCCTGTTTGTCCTGTCAGCTGTTTCTGTGATACTTTTTCTACCTCATTGGAACCTCCATTGATCCTTCTCCTTTCTTCCTTTGCAAACTTGCTCTCTCTATCTGGCTTATTTCCTGATTTCAATCATTCTCTTGCCACCCCTTTTCTTTTCTTTTCTTTTCTTTCCTCTTTAATTTTTTATTTTATTGGGGAACAATATGTCCCTCCAGGACCCATCAGCTCCGAGTCAAGTAGTTGTCTCCAATGTAGTTGTGGAGGGCGCATCTCAGTGGCTCACGTGGGAATCGAACCAGCAACCTTGGTGCCATGGGCACTGCGCTCCAACCAACTGAGGTAACTGGCTGCCCCATCTTGCCATGACTTTTCTAATTATCGCTCTGTTTAAGGAAAAATATTTGGCCAAAGATCAATGAAAATCTCCTCTCCTTGACAGGCACCAAATTTATTACTAGGCTATTTTATAAGGTTGTGATTGAAAAGTTCAGAACTTTAAGAGACAGACATCATTATTTTTCTTTTTTTAAGATTTTTATTGGGGAATTGGGGGGATGGGAACAGTGCTGGGAAATTGGGGGAAGGGGAACAGACAAGTTGCTGTCATTTTTGTTCTTCAATCTAGTTATTGAGGCTGTTGCTTCACTGGCCCAAGTTGGCACCATCATTGCGCTCTTCCCAGGAGAGGCAGATCAGTCGCCGGCTTCTGGACGGCCGCTCACTGCGGCTGCTGGCCGCTCACGCTGGCTGCTGGCTACACACGGTAGCCCATGGCAATCCACT